CGCCTCCCCAGCTCCGGCCCCCAGCCCCCGGCCGGAGCGCCGAGGCCCCCGACCGCCCCCGGCGCGCGGAGCGGGCGGCGCCCTCTGTCCCTCCGCCCTCCGCCGCTGTGCCCACCCCCTGGCCGGGGAGAGTGCTGCGCGCTCCTTCCCCGGTCGTTACCTGCTCTGCGCGCGGTGGACACGTGCGGAGGGCCGCCTGACACTCGCAGCCCTCGGGGGAGGCCCGGCGCCACTGGGCCCCTCAGGTAAGGAGCCACGGGCTCGGGTGGGTGGGCTGCGGGGTGGGAGGCCTGGGGGCCATGTGGGGGCTAGGCAGGGCCCCAGGCGAGGATGTGGGTGGGTGGGTGAGGGTAAGTGCGGGTGGGGTCTGTGTGGCCGGTCGGAATCCTCTTTGGTTAACCCCTTAGGAACTGAGACTGGGTAGTTTACGGGGGCCAAGGGTTGGGGGGCTAGACGAATCTTTCCCAACCTTGAAGGAGGGACATCCCACGCCAGGAGGGACCCCCTACACCAGGATGCGTGTGCCTGCTCCCTCATATCGGTGCGCACAAACACCCACAGACACTTCTCATCGAGCTTCTCCAAACGGACTCCACTTGGACAGTCATGGTTAAGGTTTAAAATGCACCGTTTCAGGGGACCCCATGCTTGAGGATGTGTTCCCCCACATTTATTTCCCCCACGAATGTTCCCTCTTCCCCACGCGAAATAAATGTTCGCGTAGGTCTCCTGCTGGCAACCCCCGCGGGCGTGTTCTGCGCCGCGGAGTGCACGCCGCCTGTCAGGGCTAGCAGCTCCGCGAGCACGCACGCTTGCACTTCCCAAGTTTACTTTTCTTATTTCCAGTATTGTAGTTGCAGTGTACGCCCCGCGGACAGCAGCGCGGGGCCCCAGCGGCGAGCCCGGCCCTGCGCACGTGGGCGCATCTGCGTGGGCATATCTGCGTTTGCGCACATGCGGGAGTCGGGGTCCGGGGTGCGGCCTCTTGTCGCTGCGCTGGTGGCTTCCCTTACGGTGCCAGGCAAGACTTCGGGTGAGGCACATGAAGGATTTCATTGAGTGTGAAGACAGAGAGCAGAGACAGAAAGCAGAAGGAGGCGGCTGCAGCCTTTGTAGTCGCGGAGGAATGCGGAAATGTTGAAGCACTATGTCAAACTTTTTTGAAATGGGGTCAAGTCACATTCAGCCAGCGTGGGAAAGCAGCAACAACAACAACAAAAAAAAGTGGAGACGAAGAGGGGGGCCAGGCATCGCCGCTCCGGGTTCTGTCGGCCGAAAACAACTGTCCGGGGGGCGAGAGGGGGCGAGGCGGCTGGCGCTGCGGGCCGGGCGGGGGACGGCTGTTGCTGCTCCCCGCGGGGGTGGCACGTCCCTGCCGCTGCCTCGACCGAGCCCAGGGCTGGGTGCTGGGGGAGAGCGAGCGGGAGCCCGGAGGCTCCCCCGCTACCTGTGTGGCTTTCGACCTGGCTCAGACCCCGGCAGAGCTCTGGGGCTCCTTCCTCGGCTTTTAAGGAAAGTTCTCGGTGCAGCTAGTGAGAGAAGCTCTGTCCTCGCCCGGCTCCGCTCCGCACCCCGTGGGGGTCGGGGCATTTGTTTCTTTAATTGCAGGCAGGGAGGCGAGCGGGCCAGCGGTTGCAGGGCAGGTAAAAGCCGAGGTGGCCCCGGGGATTGCGGACACGAGGCTCGCGTGGGCCAATGTCCAGCCGAGGTGGGGGTGGCCATGGAGACCTCGGTCCTGGCTAGCAACTTCATGGGGAGCTTGAGTTAGGGGGACATCCTCCCCACGCCCTGCGCTTTAGAGTGCAGCGGGCTGGAGAGGGGGCCGCTTCGGGGACCTGGCCTCCTGCCGGAGGGGAAGCGGGAGGCCATCTCCGCCACCTCCGGGGCGCTCCGGACTCTGGGGAGAGGGTCTGGAGTGCGGGCCCCGAGGGCGCAGCCCCTCTCCCTCCCCAGCCCTGTGCTGACTCCCCCGCCCCCACCTTCGGTTGGGAGGTGGCGTTTTGCCCTTCTTGAAATCAGTGGCAAACTTCGGACTAGTCGCCGCTATCTAGGTCCGTCCCAAAGTTACTCTTTCGGGACACGACAAGCGAAAGTGTGACGGATCCCCCCTTTCTCTCACCCTTGGGATGTGTTGGGGGGGAACTCCTCCCCTTCCAGGGCCCCTAGCTCGCCCAACCCAGTAGCCCCAGCCCTCCCCTACCAGACGGCTTGTCTTCCCTGAGTTTCCACCAGGGAGGTCCTCAGAGTCGGAGGGAGAATTCCGTTTCCCACCAAGGCTCCGACACCCTAAAAGACCGTTTGTATGTGTGAGAGTCCCTTTTAAATGTCTCTGGGTAGAAAAACTGAAAGTAGAAAGGAAGGAAGCAATTTCCGAGCAGATGTATGACCACCCCCTCTCGCCTACTCCCAAGCATCGGGTTACAGGGTCCCCGGGAGCCCCCCACCTACATTCTGTCGCCCCACACGGGTGGACCCCCCCAGCCCTTCACCTCAGATTCCCAACGCCCCCAGGCCTCCATCGCCGCCCACGCCCGGGTCCTGCAGCGGCGTAGGGCAGCGGAGCAACAGTGATATAGGTATAAATATTAAGCCGTGACATTGACGTACCCGGCGCCTCCCCTCCCCCTCGCTCCCGGCACACTCTGGGCTGCTCGGCACGCCCCCTCCGTTCCTCTGAGCCCCGCGCCCTGAGCCCCGCGCATCCCCGAGGGGCCCCTGCAACCTCTCGGCGAACACCGCTCGAGCCCTGCAGGGAAAGCAAAGTAACTTAGTTTTTCTCTGAGAAACCAGGAAGGATTAGGGGGCTGGGGAGAGGGTGTGAGCGCGGAGGCGAGCGATTGGGGGTGGGGGGGGCCTCCAAGGAGAGGAGGAGGGGAACCTGGAGGAACCCGGTGGAAAGGTCCTGGGATGTCTAATCACACTCTCTTCTTGTCCTCCCGTCTCTTCTCTTTTAGGTGCAGAGATTGTGGGCTGAGACGCGCTCCGGCAGAGACTATGTAATCGCTTTGGGGAGGGAAGAGGAGGGATCGGCTCTCTCCTCCGGCGGCAGCGGCGCGGCGACTCGGCTAGGCGGAGTTTCGCGGCGGCTGCACCGGGGTTGCGCCAGCCGGCGGGGAGGTCGCTCCATCCAGCCCGGCGGCCGCGAGTGCGAGCTCTGGGAGCCCCGGAGGAGGTAGCCAGCCAGCCAGAGCGCACTCTCGTCCCAGCAGCATGGAGAAGGACGGCCTGAGCCGCGCGGACCAGCAGTACGAATGCGTGGCGGAGATCGGCGAGGGCGCCTACGGGAAGGTGTTCAAGGCCCGCGACCTCAAGAACGGAGGCCGGTTCGTGGCACTGAAGCGCGTGCGGGTGCAGACGGGTGAGGAGGGCATGCCGCTCTCCACCATCCGCGAGGTGGCGGTACTGAGGCACCTGGAGACCTTCGAGCACCCCAACGTGGTCAGGTGAGAGGGGAGGCGCCGTCGGGGGGCCGTGTGCCCGGAGACCCTCCCGGGAATCCTCAGGTTCGGGAAGGTGCCAGGCTTAGGGGCGACCGGGCAGCGCGACCTGGCGACCCGACTACAGGGAGAGTTAAGTGGTGTCGTCGGAGCCCGTGACCTTGCCAGACAGGAAGCAGAAAGGCCAGCCAGGAAAAAAGGGAGACCAGCACTGGCTTCCCTGCAGCCAGGCAACTGCGAAGTGTTTTCTCCCTGTGCCCCCACCCCCCGTGGGGGGGCGGGGGGAATTGGGTGCCTTTTAGGGATAAAACCAGACAACTTCAGAAACGTTCCTCCAGCGGATTTTCTTTGTGTCAGTAGGGGAATTTTTGAGACTGAGAATGAGAATCAACTTGGGGTGTGAACCTTAGAAGGGAACTTTAAGGGTGGAGTCTAATGTAAATAAAGTTTAAGAAAATGTAGAAACCTGTAAGAATGGGTCTACCGATCACACGCAGAGTTTTTCATTAAAGTTGCATAATAATGATTTCTGGTGGTCTAAGAAGTTTTAATGCTGACGCCCAGTGTTAAATTTCATTCTTTGAAAAATGTCTTTTAAGAGAGAGTCTGAATCAGGGGGATCGAGAGAGAGTTCAAGGCCAGCCTGGACTATATAAGTAAGACCCTGTCTCAAAAAAGAAAGGGAGGAAATGAGGGAGGGAGGGAGAGACGTCTTCTCAAACAGTTGCCTGCTTGTCTGTATTACTTAGTATCTGTGGATTGGTACAGACTGCTTCTCTCAGCAGTTAGGTGTGCATCTGGGATGTGCTACTCTTTAGAGTCTTTTATAAAACCCCTGTTTTCCCTGGAAGGGAAAAGGGGTTGGGAGACTGTCTTAATAAGTTCTCGTATAAAGTAAGCAGCAGAAAGTGTGTGTGATTGAGGATAATGGTATTTTCTTAATGATCCTGGAATTTCCCCCACTGGATGGTTGTGTCATCCCTCTCTTTTTAAAACAGTGCATAGCTTGAAGTTAAAAAGTAATGCACAGACCCTTCTACAAATTAGATGATAATTTTACCCTTCTTGACTCTGACTCTTAATGTATTGGAGAAAGAAGGTCTTGGGATAGTCTTCCTGTTTTCTCATTCCTAGTCTAAGAATTCTGTACAACAAATAGAAGCCTACTGTGTGCCCTGAGGATGAAATTATGTAAATAAGCACAGCTAAATATTTTTGTAAAAAGTCGAAACAATTAAACATTACTCATCAAAATGGAGAGACCCAAGACTGACCTTTGAAATACCAGGCCCTCTACAGACTCAGGAAGACCAGGTGTCTACAGAATCTTCTGGGAGGTTTTTAACTCTTTTCTTCTATGTTGAGTGATTTGTTCTAACACAGTCAGACTCTGGTTAGAATGCAGCAATGAATCATCAATATATAGGTAAGGGGGTAGGAGGTTATAAAGATAACACCTCATCATACCTGCACTTTAGCTAGGTACAGGGGCTGGGAGAATGAGTCTTGTAGAAGAATAGTTTCTACATAAAAGCAATAGATTACCATGGTGTGTGTGTGTGTGTGTGTGTGTGTGTGTGTGTGTGTGTGTGTGTGTGTGTTTAAAAACTCTTTGGGGGAGATCTTTATTGGTGGGCAAAGACAGGATGTGTGCTGGCTCCCTGTAACTTGATTGTTTTCCCAAAGGAGTCACTGAAGCTATTCCAAAGAATGAATTTCACCGTTAGAATTGAAGAACAAAATTCATTTTGTCTGTTACCTATGGAGTGTCCAATTAAGGATGATTATCATATATAAAAATTATCCAGTGTCCTTCCAAGGGAGAGCTGTTGCACAAGCACCCTTGGATAACCTTGTTTGTTGAGTGCAATCCATTCTCCTAGCAGAAGAAGGCTGTTGTACCATTGTGCTGGTTAATTTGGGCCAACTAGTTCATCCTGTTCTCCTGTTTTATCCTCTGAGATTGATGTAGAGATTTCAATGACCCATTACTTAGATTCTGAACTATGAATTTCAGGAGGATCTACTTATAAATCGAAGAAAAATGTGTTATCTAAAGTAATATCTACCTTTTAAAATTTTTAATTATTTTTATTTGATGCGTATGCACATATTGCCTGCATGTAGGTAAGTGTACCTGTGTCATGCAACGCCCTCAGACAGAAGAGGTCATTGGATCCCCTAGAATTGGAGTTTCAGACAGTTGTTAGCTGCCATGTGGGTGCTGGGATTCGAACCCGGATCTTCTGCAAGAACAGCCAGTGTTCTTAACTGCTGAGCCATCTCTCCAGCCCTGTAATTTCTACTTTTATATGATGATGATGATGACACCTACTTTTTTGGGTTGTGAGGTTAAAGCAAGAGTATAGGGGAACACATTTTGTAAATCTGAAAGCACTTCAAGGGCCCGAATATTTGTGTTCAGGAATTTAGTAGGATCCTGGACCTGAAACAGGTTCTCAGGAAGGCATCAGTTCCCTCGACCTTTTTAACAGAACAGATGATATTCCAGTTCAGGCATTACAGGCTTTTGGATCAAGAAGTATACAGATCTGACATTTGTCAGAAAAAGTGATCTGTCATATGCTATGAAATTAGTGAAGTGGCACTTGAGGAAAGTATTGATGAGGTCATCCCTATGGGCAACCTGCTCCCTTCTCTTGGTTTCCTTCCTGTTTTTTCTCCTCTGCACCACCCATCCATGCACATGATTTGATTGACTGAACTAGGAATTCATATTTTAGAGGCCAGGACAGGAATCAAGGACTTGACAGCAGTTTTCCTTCCAAGGAAGAGTGCCAAAATTGAGCCCCAAACCAGCAATTTGTTGTTGTTTCTGGGATAAGTTTTACAGTTTGTGCCTGGTTCTTTAAAGATTGCTTAAAAGGACCGATGCTTTTTTAAGTGCCTTCAAGTCATAAGTAATTGATCATAATTATAGTCCCTCCCCACACATAGTTAAGCCCCTAAGCTTGAAGGAGCACAGTAAACATACTAGTTTTTTCAAAAGTTTAAGATTTAATTTTGATGGATTTTCCAGAAATGCAAGCTTGGTATTGCTGGTGCTGGTCTGTGCGTGCACAACGACTTGCTTACTTGAACGGGTCATTGCCCAGTCCTAGGCTTGATGAGCCTCATGGTGTCCAGCATGTAAATTTCCTCTTATTTTACAGCTGGTAATCTGAATTCTGGAGCCTTTGCCAGAATCAGACTGTATTCTGTAGTGTTAGAGCTTCTGCGTTCCACATGAGTTCTGTTTGCAATCCTGAGCCAAAACAGAGATAAACGTGACATAAAACTTGTCAGCAATCTGTTAATTCACCAAATACTTATTGAGGGCCTACTGTGTGACAGACAACTTCTAGAAAAAAGAAGCTGGGGGTAGGGTAATGAACAAGCCATTGCTACAGTTGTAGAACTAAGTTTGTAACAAGATGAACAGCTTTTTTTAACCCCCTGTTTTAAAACTCCTTTGTCTAAGCCAGGTATGGTGGTTCATTCCTCTAATCCCAGCATGTGGGAGGATGTAGAACCTGGAGTTCAAAGTCATCCTCAGCTACATAAGTTTGAATCCAGCCAAAGCTACATAAGACCCTGTCTTGTAGGGGAAAAAAATAATCATTTGTCTTTTGTTTAAGTTGATTTCCTGCATTTAACCTAACCAGTTTTATAAAGCTACTTGTATTTGTGATAATTTAGTTACCAGGAATTTTCTGATTGAATAGACAAGATAAAACACTAATCAGAACCACATGCTGTTCAAAGATTAAATTTTGCCTTAGGGACGTACAAATTGATCTATATAAGAAGGCATTGACATATAACTAATGTATATGAACACTTTGAGCCCCATTTATTCAACAAAAACTGAGGAAAAACCTCTTTTAAAAACCACAGGGGTAAGTTCTAGAAAAGATGTGTGAGTAATCACACTTAGCTACTCAAGTAGGTTTCTTGTGATTGAAGGAATAAGATGATCACCATCAAATAGATACCTGGTAGTATCCTGTGCCTAAGATACAGGTGAGTACTACCTATGTTGTCCCAAGGATTAAGTTTGTTAGAATAGCAATGAAAGTAATTCAGATTCAAGTATTGGTTCTGAAAACTAAGGTATCAATGGATAAACACGATAGGTAAATATCTTAAGGATATAAAGTTGTTATCACAGCATTTAGTCACTGTTTTAAAAGCAAACAACAATAGCACAAAAAAGAAAAGTTATATAGCTCAATGATTATTCAAGGAGCTCTTTCTAATTTTCTCCTTTTAAAGACCTCAATAACATATAGCATAAAAGGAGAACAGAATCATGCTGTGGTGGCACATGCCTTTAGTCCCAGCACTCAGGAGTCAGAAGCAGGCAAATCTCTGTGAGATGAAGGCCAGCCTGGTCTACATAGTACATTCCAGGCCAGCAGGACCACAGAACAAACAAAAAGAACAACCAAAACAAAACAACAACAGCATAAAAAAGCAGAAAAATGATTTTTTTTTCTAGGAAAACTTATTAACAGTGAGGAAGAACATGGTGTATTTACTTTTGACTCAGTGTAAAGCCAGGTCTTCAGAGGGGTTAGTTCATGAGAACCTTTATGAATAAAAGTATTGTTTTGCAGGTAAATAATGTTTACTAGGGCTTGTTCCACTGAAAACGTGAAGAATAAGAGTTTAAGTCTTCATTTAAACTTCAGTATGATAAAAGTAATGAATATGTTCCTTCATCCTCTGAGTTCTTGAAAAGTTTCCAGTTATCAAGTCTGTTTAGCAAATAAACATCTTCACAATTACTTTCTTCCCATTCCTTGTTCCTGTAGATGAAATTGGCACTGCTGAGCTTTTAACTTTGCAGCTGTATCCCTTTTTGACTGTTATCATTGTGGAATTTATTGAAATGAATCAAGAGAAGGAACCTTACTTATTCCTGTTGCCCACAGTACCTAGCACTGAAATATTCATTACTTGTATGAATATGGAATATCTGCTTGCCAATAAAGTAGGATTCC